AGAAGTCGGCTGAGCGCCACAGTGGGAGGCAAAGGGGGGCAGGGCAGTGATGTGCGGTGTGACAGTGGCTCCAGGCCCCGCCCCCTGGACGTGAACATCACCGCCTCACCTCCCGCTGTGGCACTCGGTTGAATTCTGCGCTGCTCAGCCGGACCGCCTTGCAGGAGCAAGCGGCCGTTTGGGCTCCTCAGTTCCCCAAGTGAGAGGCAGGAGGGGGAGGAGAAGAGAAAGAGAGAGGCAGGAGGCAGAGGGTGCGGTGTGACAGTGGCTCCAGGCCCCGCCCCCTGGACGTGAACATCACCGCCTCACCTCCCGCTGTGGCACTCGGTTGAATTCTGCGCTGCTCAGCCGGACCGCCTTGCAGGAGCAAGCGGCCGTTTGGGCTCCTCAGTTCCCCAAGTGAGAGGCAGGAGGGGGAGGAGAAGAGAAAGAGAGAGGCAGGAGGCAGAGGAGAGGTGAGGGGGGGGGAAGAGGGAGGAGGAGGAGAGAGAGAGAGACACACACACACGGTCGTGGAGGAGAGACCCGAAAAGCCTGTCTTATGATGGGCTATTGGCTAGTTTATAATAGTGTTAGATATATAAAATGTGTCTTTAATTGATAAGGATGAGCCCATGGGCAGCAGGTATGAGAGGCAAGGGGAGGCAATGCTGGATCTTAGTGCTCAACCTTCCCTCTTTTCCTATCCCTATTCAGAGGGTTCCTGAAGGCTCCCACAATGCCTGTTGCAGTTTGCAGACTAGTGACTCTTCCCCTTAAAAGAATCTGGTTTGGTAGGACTTTATAGACTAACAAAACATGTAGATGGTATCATGAGCTTTCATGGGCACAGCCCACCTGTGTGGTTAACTCCGGTCATCTGAAGAAGTGGGCGGTACTCACGAAAGCTCATGATATCATTTACATGTTTCCTTAGTCTATAAAGTGCTACCAGACCATTTGCTGTTTTTTTCCTGTAACAGACTCACTTGGCCACCCCCTGAAGCTCTTAAAAGAATCTGTTAACTTAAAAGTGAAAATCCTTCTAGCTTGCCAGACCTATTAGCATAACATTGAGCCTGTGAAAGAACCACTAATGGTAGGGATGTTAAAATGTGTTTATCTGCAGGGCATGCATCTCCGCAGGAGCTGGTGCTCATGGGGAGCCGGCCATCCCCTCTCTGAGCCATTCCCACCTCCACCCCCCTCGCTGCACAGAGGCAGCTAGTGATAGAGATGCAGCCATGTTAGTCTCTCTAGCTGAAACAAAATACAGGACTATGCAGCACTTTAAAGACTAACAAGATGGTTTATTAGGTGATGAGCTTTCGTGGGCCAGACCCACTTCCTCAGATCAATATGTGGAAGAAAATTGGCACGACCATATATACCAAAGTGATACAACCAAAAAAAAAAGTGAACTCATAAAATTGACGAATGGGTCTGGCCCACAAAAGCTCATCACCTAATAAACCATCTTGTTAGTCTTTAAAGAGGCAGCTAGGGTGTGTGTGTGTTTAGATTAATCAATAAGCCTGGACTTATTGGTAAATCATATAAACAGCTACACTCTAATAGCCCTACCAGGTACAGTATTTAAAAATTCGTAACCAGTTGACTTAAGAGCCAGTTGACACCACTCCTTAGACAGCATCTGTGACAGGAAAGAGACTTTCATATCATCAGAATTATCATTCACTAACTGAAGAGACTGAACAATATTGTAAGGATTGGCCGGAAAAGAAGGCATAGCCCTACCTAGGCTATAGAAAATCAGGTTATCAGAGCAGGAGCAATCCTTCAAGGGATAGACTTAAATTATTTTGTACTTCCAGAATATTTTAACACTCGGTCTGCATAAGAGTGCTATGCAAAAGGCTTTCTCATTTTACGCATCCATAAATGAGTGAATTTTAGAGGGTAATTTATAACTTTATTAACCTAAGCAGATTGCTTTTAAAAAAAACCCTGCTAATTTTTAAAGTGCATGCTGTAGAGCTCATATTAAGAATTTTACTACAAAATCTGATATTTAAGTTAAACTAACATAAATATTTAACTGCATTTAAGCAAAAAAAAAAAAACCCCAAACCTGAAGGGACTTTTGTTTTGCATTAATCTGTGTTGCCTAGACCTAAGACGAAAGCATCTGGGTGTTTTATTATTCTTCATGCACATTCAACAAATTTACTGCTCCCCTTCACTGTTGTTTGCATTTTCATAGTGCTTTGAGGCCAAGTTACTGTAATAACTGTTCTCATACTTCCATGATTCAAAAGAGTTTTAGTTGAAGAAAGCGATCTATCAAAACCCAGCTTATATATAGCAGAGTTGAAATTTCATACAGTATACCTTTCAGATACAAGCTTATTAAGAATAGTGATCCATCAAAACACAGGTTGTATGTAACAGAGCTAAAATTCCCTGCAGTATACCATTCAGATGAAGGCCTATTAATACGTTCAGGCTTTCAAGGAGGTGAGCCATCCTTATAAAGTCAATGAGGCAAAAAAAATCAGTAAAAAAAACTCTGCCCTTCTGGTGCTTCCTGGGTGTCCTACAGCAAAATGAAGGGCAGAGTGTGCTGTATGATCTTAGCCGTTTTTAATCAGAGGTAGGACTGCTGCAGAATCATTGATTGCTGTTATCTTGATGTTTGTACCTTTGCAGTTCACTGAACTGCTTTGTTTCTTCATTCTATTCCCATTGAGATTAAAATGCCGGAGCTTGAGCGTGAGCTGGCTCTTGCCTAGGGATGAATATCAGAAAGGTTCTTCTCTCCATGGAGCAATGATGCTGCAGACAAAGGTTGGTCCAAGTAAATGTTTTTATTGTTTGGTATCTCTTCATTTGGGGCCTCTGAGCATTCCCATTATAATCCAGACCATGTTCTCTTTGATTCTGCTTGCCTGTGTGCAACACTGGGCCGCCTGCACCCCACAATTCTCTAGAGAATCCACAATGCTGCTAGCCCTCTGAGAAACTAGAATTCAGAGTTTCCATCTGAACCTGGATAACCAGGTGAAGAGTGTGTAGTGGACCGAGTTTGAATAACTAGCACCACCCAATCTATCTCTTTCACCTGGGCAGGGTGGCTTGTGTGTACTAACAAAGATGAGTGTACGTGTGTTTTTGTTTTAAACAGTGTCCTTGGTGACAGGATTCAGGGCAAGATCTAGAGCTAGTCACTCTTTTGAGTTTATTTTGAATTCTTTATTCTGAATAGTGTTCATGGGCATGTAACAGAACTTCCTCTTCAGATGATATAGAAAGAGGCCATATGAAAGTGTGGTTGTTCTCTGAAAAATGACTACACAAAGTAACACATCTCCCCAAGTTGTGCTTCAGTGGCTTCCAACTAGCATTTTTCTAGTTGGCAGGTAGAAAGAAGATATAAAGAAGATATATTGACAATGCAGTGTAAAACCAGGGTTAGAAGAACCTGAGTTAGCCAACCTTTTTTTTTTTGTCTTGGGCTTGAACAGCTATACTAATATACTAATTTGTAACCCCTGATTAGGAATTACTGAACTGGGCTCCAGTATTATCTCTGCATTATGTGGACTCAAGTCCAACCACCCAAAATATGGCTACTCTAGCCCTTCTTCGTGATAGTGTGGGCAAACTTGACTGTCTAGAGGACAAAGAAAGTCAACCCCTCGGACTGTGGGATACTTTTGGTGGATTCTCTGAGCATGAGTCTAGTGGGGATGCACCTACATTGCCAAGAAATACGACTTGAACCATGGGGTCCCAGCTTGACTTGGACCATACAGCCCCTGTAGCCCTAGCAATCTGTCCTCAGCTCAGTTTGTGTGCAGATGGAAAGGGAGTTTGAGTTTGAATCCTGGACTTACATTGCAGTGGAGACATAGCCAGAGACTTTCAAACAGCCAGTTATCACTCTGCCCAGGAGATAAAAGACAAGTTGGCTACGTCTACATTGGCAAGATTTTGCGCAAAAGCAAGTGCTTTTGCACAATAACTTGCCATCTGTCTCCACTGGCCGCAAGTTCTTACGCAAGAACACTGACATTCTAATGTAAGAAATCAGTGCTTCTTGCGCAAGAACTATGATGCTCCCACTCAGGAAAAAGCCCTCTTGTGCAAGAGTTCTTGCGCAAGAGGCCAGTGTAGACAGCCAACGTGAATTTCTTGCGCAAGAAAGCCCGATGGCTAAAATGGCCATCGGAGCTTTCTTGCACAAGAGAGCGTCTACACTGGCATGGATGCTTTTGTGCAAAATCACATCTCTTGCACAAAAGCACATGCCAGTGTAGACGCTCTCTTGCACAAATACTTTAACGCAAAAACTCTTGCGTTAAAAGTATTGGCGCAAAATCTTGCCAATGTAGACGTAGCCAAGGTGTTTTCTTTAGCCTGCACATCATAGAGATCCTGCATTTTGAGCTTTGTTAACAAGTCAGAGTCAGAAAATAATGCAGTTTTCTCGCCAAACCTAAATCTGCTATTTATTGCCAATAGATATAAAAACATCAAAAATTACTTTTGTCACTAAAGTTAGCTGATATGATGTAGAACATGTATAGTGAGCATACCTATTGAGCAATAAGCTGCCATGTGTATAACTATCAGTTAAACAAGTACTTTAATTATTTTAATCTTCTTAATTATCTAACAAATACCTAGGAAATCTGGGTTCCGTTTTCTAATATAAAGGCTCTGTCAAACGCTCTTAAACTTTCATTTTTGGGGGAAAGAAATTAGGGCTTTGAAAAGGCATTCTCTACTGGGCAAAATCTTTTCTGCTTTGAGAGTTTGAACACTAAGGAGCATTATAACATACATCTAATAAACCCTTCTATATTCTGTCCTGGCATCAAGTTAGAGACAATGTCAAATAAAAATTATGCGCTACTGGGTTTGCAAATCAGAAAATTTGGCAGTGTATTTAAAACAAAAATCAGCAATATTAGAAATATTCCTCAGAATATGCTGGCTGAATATCTATCTTTGACTCCATTTCCATTGTTTACTCTTTGCATTTCCCTCAATCTGAATATCTTTCATCTTGCTTAGAGTCAGTTGCAATTTCATGCTCTCCATACTGCAGTATTTTTGTTGCAAACAGTGCAGGGGGATGTAAATTTGTATATGTTCCTATTTTATTTTAATTGGTTTCCAATGGAATATTTTTACTTAAGAAAAATCCCTAAGAAGCATTTCTATTACTCTGAGGATTTATAAAAGCTCGGTTTTTCAAAATGTAAATTTTTCACAAATACAGATTTGATCTAATTGTATCATTTTAAATTGTGCAGTCAGTATCTTACATCTCTTCAAGTGTGCTTGTTTTAAAAAAATTGAAAAAACAGAGGGCAAAAAAAAGTCAGTCGGCAAAGAGTACATAGCAAGAACAGTTAATACTTTCATTAACTAAAGGAAGAGTTAAGCTACAGTCTGATGTTTTTTTAATTTAGACTTGATCCAAAGCTCATTGAAGCCAATCAAAGGACTCTGTTTGACTTTAGTGGGCTTAAAGTCAGACCCTTATTTTATAGTGCAGGTGTGGATAGAAGGTAGATCTGATGCCCCTGTGGTACTGGGTGCTGGGTATGAGCATTCTTGGCATCTTACTTTATATTCACTGACTCAGAAAATAGATGTTAATGTTTAATCAATTGTAGGTACTTTGGTGGGTGCCTTTACCATAATGTTTGAGCACCTTATCCTCACAGCCCTTCTCTGAGGTAAGGATTATTACCCCTATTTTATAGTCAGAAGCACTGAGAAGCTAAGTCACTTACCCAAGATCACATAGGAATTTTGTGGTAGAACAAGGAATTAAACTCCTGTTTTAAGAGAGACTAGCACCCTCATCTCTGGACCAATTTTCCTTTCAAATGCACTGAATTATTCCTGAGGCTATAGTAGCTGCAGGGATTTGATACAAAAAATCACTGCTCCCACCCTATTTCCATGTATTGAAATGTGAAGTACATTAATTGTGTAACATGGATTATCAAAATAATTGCACCGGGTTCCAAAATTGATTTAGACTTATGTGTTTGGGTCTGTGCCTAAAAGAAAATGCATGGATCTTCTCCTAAGTGTCTCAGTCTAGAACCAGGTGTTATTCTTAGAAGATGACTGTCATGATTCTTGGTACCTAAATACTCTACAATATTTCAATTAGTTCTGCATTGCAAAATCACAGACTGCAGTTTCAAGGCTGAGAAATAATAAACATGGCACTTGATCATCTCTGCTGTTTTTAGATGCTGTCATGGCTACAGAATAGAGGACAAAGTAATGACATAATTCATCCGTATGCAATGGTACACTACTTGCTTTGTGAGTACATGCTGCTTTGTGAGTACATGCTACCAGATTATGTTGGTATTCTAGAAATTACATTCTTCATACAGACAATGGAAGAGATGTACAACCTGGCTTTCAAAAATCTCTCACTAATATAACTAGTGTTTCCACTGTACCAGAAGAGTTATTGGCTTCTCCATCTCTCTTGTGTGTATATGGAATCACTTATTAATTTTCTTTAATTTTTACTCTAGATTCATTTATAAAATGCATTGTATATAAATGGAATTGTATTATATAAAATATATAAGTTGTAAATGATGGTGTATCAATACAAGTCTAATTTCAACGACAGCATTTTATCCATCTGTCTTAACTCCATACTGGGCAAAATTAAATCACCATTATTTACATCCTCTTGTCATGCTGCTTAATTATAGAGTATAATTAACTTTAGACCATGGGTTCCCAAACTGAGGGTCGTGAAGAAATTCCAGGGGGGCGCTCAACAAGTTTTGCTGTTGCAGGGGGAGGGGTTGGGAACCACTGCTTTAGACTGTATGCAATTAACAAAAGAAGGAATCAAACAACTTTCATTATCCACTGTTCCCTGTACAGGATCGGACATCTAAAAGATACGCTGATTTAGGCATTTTCATGCATGATAATTTGGACAGAGCCATAGGTGTGTGTAGCACTTTATAGATACAGGTTGGACCTCCATGGTCCCGCTCCGTTGGCCAGTCCCGAATGAGGGAATTCACTGGATCAGAGGAGGTCTCCTGCCACTAGCTTCCCAGGACACTGTTCCTCCCTCAGGCTGGCTCTGTTCCAGCCCTGCTGCTACAGGGCTTGGGCTTTGGCTTGGGCTTGGCTCTGGCCTGCTTCTGCCAGCTGGCTGGGACTCTCTGAGGACGGAGCTCCCCACTTGCCATGTCCCCACTTCTGTCCCACCTGGCTGGGGATTCCCAGAAAAGGGGGCTCCTTGGCTGCTCTGCTGGGTTGGAGCTCCATGGCTACTTTATAACTATTTACACCCATACTCCAGTGAATCACAACCTAGTAAGCCTCATTAGGATTGTTTTCACTATAATTGTATCTCAGTGCTGTGATGTTATAGGGTACGTCTACACAGCAGCGTTATTTTGGAATAACTGACATTATTCTGGAATAACATAGAGCACATCTATCCTACAAGCCTTTATTTTGAAATAATGTCAAGCTGGAGGACTTCTTACCCCGATTCATGGTAACCCTCATTTCACAAGGAGTAAGGGACATCAAAGGAAGAGTGTTCTTCCTTCGACTTCCTGCTGTATAGACAGTGCCAAAAACAGAATTAAGCTTTTTCAACTTAAGCTATGCAATTGACTTAGCCGAAGTTGTGTATCTTAATTTGACTTTATCCCTGCTGTGTTGACGTACCCCTAAAGGCCCAGATCTTGAATTGTACCAGACATGCTTGTGTGTATATTGTTCTGTTGGAAACAGCAAATTGGTAATTTCTCTGAGAAATTAGCAGGAGCTGGATACTCTTCTGACATTTTCCACTGGGGTTCAGGGGCTGGGGCACACCTATTGTTAGCGGCAAGGCCAAGTAAGGGCTGAAAGAATCCTGAGGAGATTAAGTGGCTAAAATATTGAGGTGCCAGGAAGCTGATATTGCACAAACAAGTCTCTTCCTGACACAATGGGATAACAAGACAACTCACAGTATATGTAACAAAGGGCCCCATTTTTCAACTTGTTAAGCGGATCCAGAAGATATCACCAAACCAAGTAGAAGAGTTGGTATGAGAGTAGTTGATAGTGGTGCATTTACCATTGGGTTATTTGTTCCCTGGCACCAGACCCAAGCTCAGAAGGGCCCGTTTGATAATAGGGAACCCAAAGTACCCTGGGAGCTGTAGTTCCTTGACCAGCTCCCTACTTAGAGATCTGGCCTGGGAGCAGCGAAGGGACTGTATTTCCCAGCATTCCCTTGACCGCTAGCAACAGGAATAAGAGGGGCAGGAATTGGGGGAGTTGTGCTGTGAATGGAGAGTTGGCTGGTAAGAAGAGGCTAGGGCTATGAATGGGGAACATGCCTGAACACAAAGTAGGAGGCCTTCAGAAGCCTTCCCCAGACTAGATCAAGGATGCTAGTGGCCTCGGTTCACTGCTCCCAAAGTTGGAATTGAATGGACAATGCACGTCTGTCTGAAGCCTAGCAAAGGAGGTATGTGGATCCCACCAGGAGGGGTTAATATGGTAAGTAGGGGAGAGAAGGCTCTACTAGAGGACAGGGCCTGGGCAGCTTTAAGTACAATACCAGGCACGCAGGAGGATTTGACTCTATTTCCACAGCCATGGAAGCAGCAATGGACTTTTCCTTTTTAGATTTATCTAATACTCAGAAAGGGAATCAAGTATCTGCCTTCCAGATTTGAAGGAGGTGGGGGGCTCAAGTTTAATTTGGGCTGATGTTGCATCATTTCTCCAAAATTACATACTGATCCACTGTAATTGGTTGTAGAAAAAGTAGGATAAAATTGAGCGACAAACCCTGGCATCTTCCCAGTGCTTACTGGGACAGCTGCCATTTTCAACCACCATTACCAGTTGGGTTTTTTTTTTCTTTTAAAAAGAAGGTGGTCAGATTGCATTGGTGATTTTCTCCCTGGAACAAAGAGTGAACAAAAGAACAACAGGTTGAGAGACCTCAACTTTTCCTCATTATGTGGGAGCAGTCTTACAATATGGATCCAGAGAGCCTCCTGTCACATCAACTGAAAACTGTTCCACTTTTCTGGGTGCTGGGGCAGGGATTTGTTAGAAGTGATGAGGTAGCTGCTGGCTGTGGAACTTTATTGAGCTGAGACCAGGACCACATGCAGTGCCTGGTGTAATAGGGTGGTCCTGGAAACATGGCTGTAGAATGGATGAGGAAGGAGACAAATCTGTGGGAAGCTTCCCCTGATCACTGTTTCTGCTCACTATGAACATTGGTAGACCTGCATGGGTATACAGCTCAGTGAGAAAAACCTGGGGCTGAGGAAGCTGTGTAGAGCAGTATATACAGTTTTGCAGAGGTGTGTGATCAAAATGGAAAATGCCTCTGAGACTCAGTACCAGGTATACTGTAACACTTCCACTTCGGACCTGCACTCAAAAGGGGCCAATAACAAGTACATGCGGGCCCACAGATATATTTGGCACCATGTCTATCAAATGTTAATCCAGCCATGGAAGTCAAAGACACTGCCAATCTGATGTGAGAGGGGATTGCTTTCAAGGGATTAAAGCTATTGACTTTTCTTTGTAACTCTGTAATGTGGCTGAGAATGCCTCATTTAGTTTAGCTTATGAGAGGTATAGTCTACAAATGTTACGTTAACAATTTATTTTGTTTAAATTACATTGTGTCTGTGTAATACATCTTGTTTTTATTAAGGTACTGTGATTCATGGAATGTAAAGCCTGAAGGGACCATTGGATCATTAATCTGACTTCCTGTATATATCACAGACCATTACATTTTACCCAGTTACCCTCAACAGCCTCCTCAGTTACTAATGGACTGGTAAGTACTTCATCTTCATATGACACAAAGTATATCACCTTGCTGCTTTCCAAATACAGGACAGAAATATGTTTTGAACATTGCTCCTTTTTTGGCATTATTATTAATAGTTTTACCATATTTCTCTAGGAATGAGGCAGTATCATTGCAAGGATTTATATTGTCTCTAAAATACTTAAGAAACGCTTTTTTTTTTTTTTTTTACATCCTCAGCCTTGCCAGCTGCCAAGCAGACATTCCCAAAGAGAGGCGAACCCCATTACTTCCAAGGAGAGTTGCTGAAAGGTAAAGTGGGCCCTGTACCACCCACTCAATTGAAGATGTTGGTCTTCAACACCCACTCAGTCTTGCATGGAGAGAGAAGCCCCCTCCCTGTGATTTGTGTTGCCTTTAGACAACAGGTGATGCATATAACCCAGGAGGAGACAAGAGTTGGAGGGAGGAGGGTTCCCATAGGCATTAATTTACCATTGACTGTTCATTTTCTGTGAACCATCTTAGCTCCTGAACGCTACATGCAATAGCTCTCTAATTCCTGGGTGCCCCCTCCTGGCCTGGAGTGGATCTGCAGTGCCTTGCCTCAGTTCCCTCTTGCGTTTCCTCAGTCACTCCACAGCGTGTTGTGTCCAATAACAACACCTCCTCTTACACATCTGGTTTTATTAATATAGTATTCCAAATAGAACACAATCTCCCACCGACGAGCTGGGTACAGACACTCCTTCCTGAGGTAGGTCTGCCTGTCATCAAGTTTCCCTGTTGGGCACAGTTTTCAGTCCTTCCCAGGCTCTTCTCAGTCTCTCCCCTTAACCTACCCTGGGCTCCTTACACACTCTGCTTTCTTCTGAGCATTCCCTCTCAGACCTTCCTACCTTGAGTCTGTCTCTGCTCTTTATCTCTGCAGGATCCCCTAGGCCTCTCTACCTGCAGTTTTTCACAGCGTCCAAGTGACCCTTCAGGCCCAAACTCTTCCCTCCAGTAAAGGTTTTCCTGCTTGAGTCTTCTGTATATTTATCATTCTCCTTTTAATTATGGCATTATTCCATGGCTGTCTCGGGGGGGGGGGGGCTTTCCAGGGACAGTGACAGAATATTTTCTAATAGCTATCGATGTTGGTTTTGCCTCTCCTTAATCCCCAGCAGTCATATTAGCTGTGTTGTCATCTTCATTGTTCCTTGGTATTTGGTCCAAAAGGTTAATTCTAGTAGCTCCATTCAAAGAGTAATAGGCATTTCACTAGTAGCTCCATTCAAAGAGTAATAGGCATTTCACTGGTTGCTACCACTTGTGATGCACAATGCCAGTGCTTAGATATAGTCTAGTTTTCTCAGATTTGTGTTCCCTGCTGACCTAAATGCCTGGAATGATCAACAACAATTTGTCTAATTAGTACTTTGTACAGCCACACCATTTTCTTATCTGTTCCCCAGGGTGTTCCAGAGATACTTTCAAATAAATTAATTCTCTGTTTACACGTTACTTTTATTTTCAGTATGGTCCATCCAAGAAAGCATGTTATCAAATACACCTAAGAATTTGTGATTTTTTTCTGTATAATCTTCCTGTTCCTATCTGACTCTTTAGATTAGAGAGACCAACTGTTCTCTATCAAGCCCCTCAAGAAGCTCTTAAGGAGGTACAGGTGGGTTGGACCAGTTCCTCCTTAAAAGGCCAAGTTCACCCTGTGACACTACACACAAATATATGGAAATTGGTACAGATGGGAGTGTAGAACAAGTTAATGTGATAGGGAAAAGACATTTACTTAGGTCAAATCCCACATTTCTTACATTTTAACTTTATTAAAATCTTTTGATTCTTAATTGACTGGGAATAGTGTACAATAAATCAGGCTATTCCCGACTGTGATTACTGGGAATTCTTGTCGTTTATGGGCAACTTTTTAATTGTCATAATACAATGAAACTGCCAGGTATGTTTGTTAGTCATATGAGTGCCATCAAATGAGTTGCACTATCTCAAAACATTAAGTAACACACTAAGCAGTTAAAATGAAGAAATTACTTAGACCAAGAGCATCCAGACTTAGCAGCTTCCAGAATGGAACTCTTAACTTTCCATTAGTTGGGGAGCTACTTGTAATTAGCACATTGTGGGGACAACAGTGGTTGCTCTCAATTTTCAAGAGGGAGACATGATCCACAAAGACTAAGGTTCCTAACATGTGGTGTTCCTGAACCAAGCAGAATCCAGGTGGCAAATGCATGACCAACAGAGTTCTGCAATGCACTCTGCGGACTGCCTTTGGCAGAGCCATCTCAGATCAAAACTGGACACTGCATTCTGAGACTGCAAGTCTCTCTTTCAACCATACTTCCCTAGTAAAGACAAGAGAGGACATGAGTGGAGCCCAGCACAGATACAAAATTTATATCCACATCTGTATCCACAAAACTGAGCCACAGATATCTGCATTGACATCTGCAGATGCAGATACCTGTGGATATGAAGCGGATATCCATGGATTTGCAGGGCTCTAGACATGCGTTTTTTTACTCAGGTCACCCGTGCTGTGATATATTAAGTGTGTCCCTGCTACAAAAAAATTTTCAGGAATGACGAAAACTATCCCCTCCCCCCACACTTTTGGCCTTCCAGTTTTTCCGTGCTTTCCAGCAGCTCCTGACAGTCAGTTTCATCAGGACTGTGTATCCTGGATAGGAATGTCTAGAATAATTTTTTCACCGTGAATTCTAAAAGGAGACCAGAACAATATCCTTACAAGCTGAGGTATGGAATGTGTTCACGACACAACCAGCTCTCAAATACCAATGCAATTAACACAGAAAAGAGTTGATATTTGAACCTTGGTGTGGTTATAGCCATTGGATTGGATGTTTTGGAGGAAACATGAACGAAGTTACAAGCAAATTGAAAGCTTACTTCCTGGTCTCTCGCTGTCTGCTATAGATTCTAACAGCTTAAAGGGTCATGGTCAAGCTAAAAAACACTTTTCATCTTAAGTCTTTTTCCTGCTATTGCATTACTACCCCCAAAGATCATTATCAGTAGAAGAGATTAGAGGGGAAAATGTTCTTTCCCTCCAAAAGCTGTTGTTTGTGTATTTGACAGCACTTTGTATGTGTCATTTTCAGTGTTTTGTTGAGGCTCTGTTTCTGGTTTCATGGTTCAGCCTGGTAACCTTACTTATGCACAGTGCAGAGGGAGGAGGCAAAATCTTACAAACACTCATTCCTGGTGCATGAGAGAGAAGGTTCATCAGGGCCATCAGACAATACCTGCAAACAAGCATATGCTAAAAGAAGTGAGGAATAGGCCCAACCATATTTGATGTTGCTGCTTTTAGGGCCACTCAAAAGATATCCAAAATAAGAAGAGATGCAAAAATACACTTTTTTATTTTTAAAGTTTTTTTTTTCTTTAAAAAACATAAAATTAAATTAAAATAAAATAAAAGCCAGGGTGTATTGTGTAAAGGATGCTGAATGAGAAATCTGCTTTAAAAAAAGTAGTCACTTTCACAACATCAGCTTACTAGTGTCCCTTTAATAAAGCCTGTATCTTCTTTGCTATCACATGTATGTTTTTGCTGCCTAGCTTCACAGACACAGAGCTGTTTGCATCACAGTGCTGCTGCAACTATGTGCATGAGGCAAATGTAAAATATGTCATTAAATGAACACAAAGCACAAAATCCAACCTCTGCACTTTCATTCAGCCTCCCACACTATTTGTGCCTTATCATGGATAGGAGGAGAAGGGGGGGGGGGGGGGGGATAAAAATATCAGAGCCCTCAACTTCACGGTAAGTTGCAACTTTTCAGCTTCTATGATATTCTCTTCAAAGTTGAAGCTTTACGTTAAGAGACAAAAATCTAAGAGCCAAATGTAGGTTTTTACTTTGTTTATTTTGATGGTGTGACTTCTGATTTACACCAGAATAAATTGCAAGAAATTCAAGCCCCCATTTTTTGCTTTACTATTTCAAATATGCACCAAAGGACATAATTTTTGTGTGGTTTCATATCTAAAATTAGATCCCATTCATACATTAAATGAGAAATAGCCATTCCACTTCTGAAGATATAGTCACATTTTATTACCCTTTGGAGACATGTGGGTAGAAACTCCACAAAGAAGACTATAAACCAGAAACCCTAGTGGTTGTGCTTCAGGCAGCCCAAAGGGGAAATAAACTGTGATTATTTTTCTTTTTAAATGGCATGATGATTTTTCACCTGTTATACAACTATTTCTAATTCAGTTATTGGTAGGTTTATAACCATAATACTTTGTAGTTGACTGACAAAATTCCTGCTTAACTATAAATTTAAAATACGTTTCATACATTTAAGGAAGCTTTAGGATCTAATTCTTCAGAGATACCTGATTTATACTGGTGCAACTCCACTGCTTTTGATGGAATTATTCTGTATTTGCTGTGTGAAAGAGGTGAGAGCAGTAATCAGACCTGTAGTGTTTTGTGGACACTTCCAAACAAACCAAATAGTACATTTTACCTATCTTTTACCATGATAAATATTGTTAATATTTATGATCACCAACAGTGCTTTGTGAATTACTGGCATTCCAAATTCTGAGTGTAATGGAGAGCCCAATAATACTGTAATTCAGTATTTTTCATATAGAGAGTGTGATGTGGCCAGAGTGATTGTTCCCTCGCTGCTTTGATTTTTAGAGTATTTGGTGCTTACTGAAAAGTCTCTCATATGGATAGCTCTGGAGTTTGCATTCGCCTTTGTTTATCAGTACTCAGGTAGCAGCCCTGCAGGTTGCTGACCTATCAAACGTGGGCGACTCACTTTCTAGTCTGAGTCTCTTCCTCTCAGTTTGATCTTGGGGGTTTTGGTCAAGGTGAGCCACAAGAAGCCAATTGGTATGATGCATTTTGTGAGGAACACACCTCCTCACTAGCAGCTGAGCTGACCTTACTAATTAATTGCACTAAAGCCACTGTCCCACATTACCAGTCCTCCAAGCCAAGCCGAACCTCAGACTGTTATTTTTTTTCTAATTATATGTAGTAATGGTCATCTGTTACTGGATTTACATCATATCTCAGGCTCAACATGTACCTTTCACTGCTTTTTCCCTTACTGGCCATAAAACCACAAAAACCAAATCATAGTAATACAGGGGCTCAGGATTTTTCTGAGATTGTTCAGGCCCAGAAAATGGAGTAAAATGTATAGAACAATTGTTAAAAACAAGATTAAAAGGCACAGGGCAGGACCTATGATATTACACTTAGGGCATGTCTACACTACAGTGTTATTTCGAAATATCTTATTTTGAAATAGTTAATTCGAAGTAAGTTATTTTGAAATAACGCATCTATACACAAAATGCATTTCAAAATAGCATTTTGCTATTTTGAAATAGCGCGTCCACACTGAGTGGACGCTGAATGCCATTTAAGGCCGGCCGTAGCCAGCTCCAGCAGGGCCTCAGGTCAGGAGTTACTTTGTGTGGCTGCTGCATGAGGCTATCTGAGACCTGTGCTTAAAGGGATCCCCCCGGACAGCCAGTTCTCAGGTTTCTCTGCTTGCTTGCCTACCTCGATGAGGGACAGCAAAGCATTTTGTGTCTGTATGTTCTGGTTGCCCTCACTCGGGACACCACAGCACTCTGCAGCATGGAGCCAGAATCGTTCCTGGGCACTCTGGTGCTTCTCTTGGACACGTTGCTGTGAGCCTGGCTGCATTTTCTGCAGGCTGCCATCCGGGAGGTGCATCGGGGGGCCGTCAGTATCCAGGAGGCCCTGCAGGAGAGCTTCCACCCTGAGGAGCATTAAGAGCCTCCCTGGAAGTGCAGGGCTCCAGGGTCCTAGTGTGTGAGAGGCACATGAGGGAAAAGGATAGAGAGGGGATACATGGACCTCAGGAGGAACCCCAGTGGGCTGCATGCGGCCGACAGGTTGCCTCCAAGGGTATTTCAATCTTGCGGCACGTTGAGACACAGAAGGGCCACTCATGCAGCCCACTCCCTAGTCTTGGTTTCCCATTGCTAACCTAAGAGAAGGGGGCCAATATAATTGCAGTTTCCTCATAGCAGGGCAGATGCCTGCAGACACTGAAAGGAGTCCAAAGGTTCCCAGAGTAGATAGCAGCAGGAGAAAGCTGACAAGCCCCTTTGAGCTTGAGGACTAAGAGGGGCCAGCTGAGGGACACAAATTGCAACCCAGCTCCAAGGGTAGAATTGAGGCTTCTGTCCTAAGAAGATACTGAGAGAACCGTGAGGGAACAGAGCTATGAGACGGGCTTTTAGAGGGATGTTGGAAGCTAGAAGCGCTTTTTTTCCCCCTAAGATTTTTTTATCATCGTTCCTTTGATATGAAGTTTTGTAATAAGCAAACCCTAAAGAGAGTGTATTTTAATTAATCACTACTGCCTGAAGAGAAGTTATTGCCTTCCTGAGAAGGACAACTGAGGTAGGATGTGCATGCTGGTACCACACTAACTCAGAAGGGACTGTTACAGGCAGGCATTCCTTATAGCTGGGCTGTCTTGAGATTTTGTGTGCGCCTTTCTCCTTGCACTGAAGGCTTTCTCTTTCACTAGAATCCACAATGTGACAGGGCTGGTTGATCAGATACTGTGTATCTGTATTTTCTCCTATGCTGTGTGTTAGGGATCACTTGTAAAACAGCTTTATTTGCTCTTGAAAATTAAAGGGATGTTGTCAACTCGCAAGTGAAATAATTTAAAAAATGGAGCTAGAGATGCAAATGGTTTCAGATATTACATTTGCTACTAAGTCCCCTTGCCAATTTTGATGTGTACAGTTGTGTTTTCCCTGTTGTTTGAAAAGTTCTTTGTCTTTTGTGTTGTTGAGGGAAGTGGAGGAAATTGACTAACAAATTGGAAGAATGAGTTCTCGGTAAGCTTGTATGTTTAGTGCTGCAGGTCTACTATAGCACAACCGTGAAGTGCCGGGTATCTACTGCCTAATGAGAGAGAAACCATGTAAAATCATTCCACAGATTGCTAACAAGAAGACATTAAGATTGCTTATGTGATTAAAGTTATGCACATGCTTAAGTGATTTGCTCCATTGGTAGCTGTTTTCTAATAACTGTTAGATGCTAGTGCTAAATGCTGTTACTAACATCCCAGCTGCTCTTTTATAATAATTTAGATCTCATCATGACTTGCTGCTCACTTGGAGATGGAATGAATCAACACCACTATAATTTCTTGTCATTCCCATCCCTTTGTTCTATTTCCCGATTACCTCTCTTGGGCTATGTCTAGACTGCAGGCTTCTTTCGAAAGAGGCTCTTTCGAAAGCATCTTTCGAAAGAGCCTCTTTCGAAAGATCGCGTCTAGACTGCAGGCGGATCTTTCGAAAGAGAAATATAATAATTTAGATCTCATCATGACTTGCTGCTCACTTGGAGATGGAATGAATCAACACCACTATAATTTCTTGTCATTCCCATCCCTTTCTTCCATTTCCCGATTACCTCTCTTGGTGTTCTTAAGAGCAGCTTCTGTTCTATTCTCTTCAGATTCCTTCAGCCCAGCAGATTCTGGTGTATAGCAAAATGACAACAAAATGGGTTTGCGAGACTGTACATTTTTGCATTTATTTGTCCCACAAATGGATGGAAATAGATCTCTACTTTTAATGTAATGTTTATTTGTCAGTGCTGATCACTGTTTTTTATTCTTAAATCAGCTTCAACAAAAATATTCACTTAAACTTGATATTTTCTTTTTCTCACCAACAAGCAGTTCCGGGAATAAAAAGGTAATTTCATAATCCCTATTATGCTGTTGCCCTTTATTCTGGATTATGATATTTGCTAACTCCCCCAAATTCCATGCAAAATAGATGAATAAACAGACCATTTTAATCCAATCTAGCTGTCTGCGAGTGAAGTAACTGTAATTAAGAGCATGAGTATGGAGAAGCAAGTACTACAACTTTATCTCCTGCTCAACATGGATGTCTGAAAAGCATTCAATGTAGGAGAGAGGATTTAATTCAAGTCTTTGCGAAAGTAGTGTTTGAGAGAGGGTTGCTTGGTTGAAAAAGAATCCCAATAGCTCTGGTCTGCAGTGCAGTGGGGGGTAATGCAGGCTCCCCACCTGCCCTGGTTCCATGTGAATCCTAGAAGGGGCTACAAGGTCCCTACAGCCCCTAAGCACAGGCAGGCTCAGTGCATTGCCCCAAGCCCAAATGCTGCCTTCGCAGCTCCCATTGACCAAGAACTTTGAACAATGGGAGCTATGGGGGCAGTGCCTGTGCGCGCAAGGACAGCGTGCAGAGCCTCCCTGGCTGCCCATGCACCTAGGGGCCTTGAGGACCTGGCAGCTGCTTCCTGGAAACTGCGATAAATGTCTCCAGTACCCCATACCACAAACCTTCTGCCCCAGCCAGGAGTGGGAAGCCATATCAGTAACTGATCGCAGAATTTAGTTCTATAGCTCTAAAATGGTCAGATATGGCAGCAACAGCAGTGAAGTCAATTCAACAATTAACAGAAGAGTGAGAGAAAGCAAACTTCTTATGCTCCTGAACATATATGTGTGAGTAAAAGGATCAACCCCCCTTTTTTTTCTAATCCTATAGCACCACAATTGCAATGGTATGGTCAAGAAAGGACACTTGTTTGCTTTCTACAAGCATTTATACCAGAAACTTGATTGTAAGAGCTATGCTCATTCACTCTGGAAGAGAAACAATATCATGTGACTTGTGACCAATCACTATTAGTCAGCATAGCAGGATACCATATTTCCAG